GCAGGCTTGACGAATGGCATCCTTTGTCTCCTGGAGGCTTGGCCAAAGAGGACGGTCTTCTCCTGGGGTCCAGGAGAAAGACGGAGTGCATGGAGTGAGAAGGAGAGGAGCATGAGGAAGGCCCTGAAAGCTTTGGTGAGAGAAGTGACCCAGTGTGGCTGGTCTTTCACAAAAGCAGGGGATCCCGTTATGGGCCAGGGGTGTTGACCAGGGTGGACGCAGATAGAGAAGTTAATGTGATCAGGGGCAGATGGTGGTAGTGAAATCCGGGTGGTAACCAGGGAGGAGGTGAGAAGTAGTTAGATCTGGCTTGTATTTTATATTTTATTTTAGTGTGGTATCGCTCCTATTCTTTTTCCACAAGTGATTTTTTTAAAGCCTTTATTTATTTATTTGACACTATTTTTTAAAATATTTTATTTATTTATTTGACAGAGATCACAAGTAGGCAGAGAGGCAGGCAGAGAGAGAAGAGGAAGCAGGCTCCCCGCTGAGCGGAGAGCCCAACGCGGGGCTCGATTCCAGGACCCTGGGATCATGACCTGAGCCGAAGGCAGAGGCTTAACCCACTGAGCCACCCAGGCGCCCCTGTTTGGCACATTGAGAGAGAGTGAGAGAGCACAAGCAGGGGGAGCAGCAAGCAGAGGCGAAGGAGAAGCAGACTCCCTGCTGAGCAGGGACCACCCCCCTCACCCAATATAGGACTCGATCCCAGGACCCTGGGATCATGATCTGAGCCAAAGCCAGATGCTTCACTGACTGAGCCAGCCAGGTGCCCCATATTTTAGTTTATAGTCAATAAAGTATTCTTGCGGATTATCCGTGACATGTGCACAGAAGCAAGAGTGGAGGCAGGCCGAGGAGCCTGAAGACTTGGCAGCCGTAACTCGTAAACAGCCATGGAGCGGGTTTATGAGGGTGAGAACTCCCTTTGAAATGTTTGCCGATCCCCACACAGAGGTGTGAGGTGGACCAACATGCTGAGATAGACAGGAAAGGTCAGCTGGGAGTCATGAGGTTACAGACGCTTCTCAGACAATGACATGCGGCCAGGGTCCACCAGGACCTGAGTGGGAGGAGGACGAGACAGTCCAGCCCTCCCTCTCAGGCCTCTCCCGCTGTCAGGAGTGGTGGAGAAAGGGACAGATCAGCAAAGGAGAATGGGGAGACACGGGGAGTAAAGCCAGGAGGAGACCCGGAGAAATGTGCTATCTGGAAAGGCTGCTGAACAGTGCTTGAAATGCTGAAGATAGGTCGCAGGGATAAGGCCCGAGAATAAAGCCTGTTTGCATCCAGGTCAGCGTCCTGATGGTTTTCCAAGAACAGGTGTGTGAGGCCAGGGCCGAGCCTGACTTAGGCGAGGGGGTGGGGTGGAGTGGAGGGCGCCGAAACACCTGTGAGGAGGGACACCCCCCAGTGGTGAACACATGGGTGTGACGAGTGCGTCTTACAGGTTCACCACAAAGATCTCCTGATTGCCGAGGAGAAAATGATCTCCTCTTTCTTAGAATTCATTTCCTTGTCTTGATCATTGCCCCCATTTCCCCTTTCTCCCCTAAATCCTCTCTCTACTTGAAAGGGTTCACGTTAGCGATGGTGGGACAGCTTGCCGCCAGTCCTCAGGTGCAGGGAGGGAAGGGATTATCCACACTTGATCATTTTAATATTGAAAAAGGAGTAGTTTGTCTCTTTCAGTGTTTTGCTCTCCAAAGTAACTAAATAGTGTATTTTTCTTCTACTTTTGCTTTCTTGGCTTTTAGTTCCATTACTGAAAATGGGACTCATACCCAGAAATAGTCCAAACAAAATCTGGCTTTTAAATATAATGCTTAACTTGTAACTACAGATGCGGTAGATATAAACAAAGTTACCTTTATGGGATGGAGTGATTTCTTAAAAACCCCAGCTTGTTCCACTTGACCTGTTTTTTGCGCTTCTCATCTCATTCACCAGTGATTACAGGCGAACCAAATAAGTCAGATTTTTGAGAATGTCTACTTATGTTGTTTAGAAGCAGAGAGGGTAGGATGACAGGTCTGATGCATGGTCTTGCAGCAGAGCAAAGTGTAATAGTATTAATTTGTGTTAAGTGCCATATTTTACCTCTAATTAATCTGGAGTATCCACGTTATTAATATTCCTTCCTGCCACTAATCTCTTCCATCCGTCGTACATTTGTGTATTCATTTTGCATTCTCTGAATTAGACAAACATGTTGTGAATTTCCCTGTGTGGCCTCTCGTAAATCAAGACACCTGAATTTGGGTGCTTTCCTGTCTGTTACTTACATGTGATGCGGCCTTGAACTTAAAACTCATCCTTCTCCTTCTCCATGAACACAAAGGAATATGTTTTCGTGTTTAGAGAGGGGTATACAAAAGAGAGTAGGGGTTGAGAATGTGGACCTTGGAGACAGATACCTGGTTAGGTCCCCTGAAACGTTGAGATCAGACAGAGTGTGTGACAGCAGTCCAAACATACCGACCACACTAACGACAAACTAATGTGAGGGTTAAAAGAGTTTCACATGTTATGTTTAAAGATATGCAGAATTAGATTCTTCTCATAGATCTGATTTGAGTTTTATTTCCTTTTCATTGGATTACTTTGTTTTCATCATGCAGATAATAACATGTTTTCCTGGCTTCACAACAGGCAGTAAAAATTAACAACCTACAAGCTGAATGTAAAACATAAACTTCTTTCACCAGAATAAAATTTGGCTTTTTGTTTTCCTGTCACCGTCCATAAATTGTGTTTTCCTGTGTGTTTATTGGGCGAGGGGGGTGAGGACAAATGATAGATTTTGTGACTTTTCATGACATCACTAGTATGTCCATATGGATAGGACATAATGGCTTTTGGAATAATTAGCTACAAAATAAAGGCGAGAGAGAAAAGGTCCTGTTCAGAATGACTTGCATGTACGAATTGCTCCTGCTTTAATCAGATCACAGTTGCTGGGTCGGAACCCCATACGGACCAATTAGTTTCATCCAGTATAAAAGCGATGTTTTCTGGTCTTAAACTGTACCTCTCACCCCGATCAGCTGTGCTCAAGGAGCCTGCTGTGTGTCGCAGAAGGGAAGCCTAGAAGAGTGTCCATGGCTCAGCACAAATTAATCATAACCTCTGAATGCAGAAGGAGCTACCCATGGTGTCAGCAGCACATATGGGCTATGTGTGAGAAGAATACGTAATTCCAGAAAAAGCTACACATTATTTCAGGATTGTTGTCCTCAGTGCAGAGCAGAGCTCATGAACATTTTACACCGTGGACCCCTCTTGGCAGTCTGTTCCCAAAGAAAATTCAAATGCACAAAATAAATGGCATAATGTTATAGAGGGAATCTAATTCATTGAGATGGAGTTACCAAAATATAAAAAAAAGTTTTTATCCATGCTTTAAATAACATAATTTTATAGTGACTTTATTCATTACCATAAATTCAAATTAGTAATTAGCATAAATGATATTTCAGAATATCTTCAATATTAATACTGATGTGAAGGAATAAAAGTATTGTGATTTTTCTTGGTTCAGAGTTACCAGCCTTGCCAAACATCACTGTGATTTGTTACTTACCCTATTAGTTGATGAAAATGCTAAATTACAATTGGAGGAAAGTTCACAACTGTCTTTTTAGAAGGCCTAGGTTCTTGCCTCTGGGTTGAAAAATCAGAGATATCTATCTGAACTATTTATAAATTTTCATGACCAAAATGTTATTATTTCATCCAGGAAAGCACTCCACTATTTAATGTAAAATATTTAACTTTCACCTGGAATTGATTTCAAAATACAACTATTGTGGTTATAGGGATAACTTATTAATAAAAATTGACAATGGGGACTTTGAATTTATTTTAATAAATGTACATTATATTGGGTTGTATCAAGGTTTCGCCTAACAGATGGAGGAAATTTTCCAGAACTCAGATGTGATAAAATCTTCTCTCAAATAAAACTTTTGGATTGGTATAGAATAAGACAAATTTTCTTAATAAAACAAAAAGTCAAGTGTTGGTGTTTCCCCAATTCCCAACATGACTACATGGCCATGGAAAGAAAATACACTAGAAATATAAATTGTCATCAATTTTTTAAACTAAAGAGGAGAAAAAACAGGAAAACAAACATATTTCTAGGACATGAATATCAATTTTACTTGAATAATGTATGCAATTAAATAATATTTGAAATTCTACAACTACTAAAAGTATTTCATTGAAATCATCTCTGTCCCATATATGAAGCTTTTGAGGACTTTCCATGGGCAGAAATGTAGTCTTAATCTATTAATTTTATATGGAAATATGAATTACTTGGGGATTAGATCATTCATGTGGAGTTAGAAGACACAGAGGAGAATAAAGTAAACATGATACTTTATGAATCTTTTTTCCTTGGACTTACATATTTTATCAGCAATTTACCACATGTCTTTGTTTCTTGGTTTTCTGTCTACTTACGTGAAAGCACAGTTATCTCTTCTTTTTTTTTTTTTCTTTTAAAGATTTTTATTTATTTATTTGATAGACGGAGAGCACAAGTAGGCAGAGAGGCAGGCAGACAGAGAGAGGGAGAAGCAGACTCCTCACTGAGCAGGGAGCCCAATGCGGGGCTCGATCCCAGGACCCTGGGGTCAAGACCTGAGCTGAAGGCAGAGGCTTTAACCCACTGAGCCACCCAGGAGCCCACAGTTATCCCTTCTAACAACATTCAGCAGCAGATACAATAACTCACAGCAATGATTATTAATATATATATTTTTAAATATATGCTGAGTTTTAGGACAGGAGACCAAAAGTTGATGAAGCCTCTGTGGACTTTCTCTTCCTCATTTATGCTTTCTAAGGGCCCCACAACTCTAAAGCATTTCTTCTTTCTGTACTGACACCCATTCGAAAAAGAATCCTCATAAATAGTATGAAAAGTGACTCTCCAAGATGATCCAAGAACATACAACATTTTAACCTTTTTAACAATTCTTTTCTAGGCTGAACAGGACAATGGCCATCCTCTGCCTGCCTTTGCCAGTCTCCATATTGAAATCCTGGATGAAAACAATCAGAGTCCGTATTTCACAATGCCCAGTTACCAAGGCTATATCCTGGAATCTGCCCCTGTGGGAGCAACCATCTCTGACAGTCTGAACTTGACCTCCCCTCTGAGAATCATGGTTCTGGACAAGGATATAGAAGATGTAAGCTCAGTATAAATGTTGCTCTTGTTTCCTTGACGCAACTTATTATATTTATGTCAACAGGAACTTTGACAGAGACGTTGCAATGGGAGCTATGGAATAGAGAACAGAGTCCTTGTGGATAAGAGTCTCATAAATGAGAATCCTAGTGTTGTAATTTCATTTCACGTCAAGAATACTATAAGAAAAGAGCATATTTGAATTCAGCGACGTTTTTTTTTTCCAGTTTTATAGATACTGCATATAGGGAAGAAAACAAATGTTTTGTTTATATTTGCTAACCCCCCAGGAGTTTTTTTTATTAATATGGGTTAAAAACTGTGTATACAGTTGCTGATAGGGAACAGTCATGGCATTAGACAGTGAGTCTACAAAAACACAAAGGCAGTGCTGGAGTATGATTTGGGGGACTTTGCTGACACTATGTTATTTGGGGGCAGCTGATTTGCTCCTGCTTCTGCTGGTGGCTGTGCTGAAGCTTAGATGGTCTGCTCCACGCATAGTGGTCTGTGGTGGTGACACTAGCTTACACATTGGGAAATGTTCCAGGCTGGGCGGATCAGTCTATTTTCCCCCTTCAGTCCCTCTCTGGTTGTAAAGAACAGACAGAAAATCTATACCAGGCCAGTCAGAGCACTCCAGGAAAGGAAAAACAAGGAATTGGAGCTGGAAGGTTTTGGCATCATGTATTAAAGAAGTGAAAAGGACTTTCGAGCCACTGGAGCCAAATTTGCTGGCCTCATGGTAGCAGTTTGTCACCAGCAGGGGAGAAGGGGCAGAAAAGAGTCCTGTTGGGGTTGTCGGGTAAGACTTTCCATGAAGATGGAGGTGTTCTGCAGCTGTGCTGTTCACCCCAGGAGCCACGAGCCCCGTGTGGTTGTGCAGCGCTCAGCATGAACTGGACTAGGAACCTCATTTTAATGTTTTTTTTTTTTTTAATTAACTTAAGTGTAAATCATCCCCTGTCCCTAATTGGACAGCACAGCTGTGGAGTGTCCCCCAGATCTCATTCCATGGCTTTTGTCATCTGTCTGGTAAATGAACTTCCAGACTCTTTTTTTTTCTCTTTCTGGAAAAAGTGTGTAACACTTCACCAAGGCTGTGACAACTCCATGTGCACACTCCTCTTCCAGATCCCTTTCTGCCTCCCAGTCCTTTCTCTTCTCTCATCCACCATTCTTGTCTTTCTTATTTCTCCTCTTCCATCTCATCATGTTATCACATGTCACAAATATCACAGCAGTAGCTGTCACTGAGTTCTAAGTACCTGCCAGACAGTATAGTAATTGCTTTATCTTGTATTAATTCTCTTAAATCTCATGGCAAACATAATAGATGCTATTTCCCATATAGCAAAAGGGGAGATGGGAGCTATTTTAAATGCCTAACAGTGATCACAGGGTTCATAAATGGTGGAGCTGGTCCTTGAGCCAAGGTCTATGAGAAGTGAAGTCCTTGATTTTAAGCACCAGACTAAAGTTACCCCTATCTATTTGCTACCGTCTGGCTCTAATCTGACTATGATAATGGCTGATGAATGCTACAGACTTTCTTCCAGAAAAGTGCATATCCATGTACAACTTCCCATCCTAGCTTTAAGGGGTTAGGGATCCCCTGAATGTCTTCATTTAGTGAATCCTTGCTAGAAAACTCAGAGCCACCCTAATACGTTTTATATAGGCTAAGCTACTGGTAGAACTAGTGCTGTCCCATAAATTTTGGTATGGCTCCTATTTCATTTTTAAATTGGAATGCATAATCATACTTTGAACAGTGACTAGCTAATTTGGGAGATTATCATGGTTTTTGTCACACCTTCATGAACACAGTGGTAAGCAAAAGCTGAATCCTGAAGAAGAAAAATAAAAAAAAACAAACAACTAAATCCTGAAGAAGAAAAAAAAAAGGGCTAAATCCTGAAGAAGTTTTACTTTCTCCATAATTGCAAAATGTACACGTCTGTACTCATTGATGTATTTACTATTATTATTATTATTATTTTGCTTGATGTATTTATATTTCTGAATGGTTGCACACTAAGCCCTACACTAGCTTGTGTACATGCTGACTTTTCTGGATTGTCATTCACTTTAAAGATTTTCAGATTGCTTCTAAGAACCTATCAAGAATGGTGGGACTTGCAGGGTGTCACTGAGGCATGTGGGAGAGCTCCTGGGTCTAGAACACCTGGGAAACATGATTAGCATTGTGCTCTGAGTGCTGACAATTCCAGTGACCCTGTTAAATGCTGAGTGTTTCCAGGGGTGGGGCAGCGAGCTGTGGTTCTGGGAAGTTTGTGCTTTGGAGTTAAACAGCCCTGTTTGACTCTTTGTCCTACCGTGTAATGGCTGTAGCATATGGAGGGGCTCCCATTCACCAGTTGCTCCTTTTGCTTAATCACCTGTGATCCGAAAGGTCAATGATTGCTGCCTTGTCCTGCTCCTTTACTCGGGGCTGGCGTGGATGGGTGGGGAGAGCACCATTCCCATAGATGAGGCCATACAGATGGAGAGTGGAGCCATTACCACATCTCATTAAAATATCACATACTTGAACACTGTGTATCTGGCCATTCGTTTCTTATTTAGGCCCATCCTCTTTCTGAAATTAAGAACAATGAGTGCCACGAGGTGCCTTGAAAGGGAACCAGTATCTCTAATCTAGTTATAAATGTTTCTAAAATATCACATACAACGGACAGTCTTCTCATCCTTCCTATTTTGTCCTCTGAATGTTTCACAACTCTCTTTTCCTTTCCCATCTTTACAACCATTACCCTACTCGCCTCTCATTAGAATTACCTCCTGATGTGCTTGCCATTGTATCTTTTTCTGACTCGGGCCTCTCTCTCACCTGGCCACTAACGGTGATCTCTCTGAGAGCTCATGTGGGTCTGTGCCACCTGTCTGCCTAGCATGCTGGTGGAACATCGCGTCCCCCGCACAAGAGAATGGCTAGTGTCACTCGATGCCTGAGCATTCCTACCCCATCATGTGCTCAAACTCCCTGACTCACCTGTTACATTTAACAATTACTTGTAGTCTCCTGCACATGCCAACCTGCTTCTTATCTCATTTCCATTGTTTATGACATTTTCATGTTTTGAAATGTTTCATCCTTCATTTCCCAAGCTGACTTGGACAACTTATGCTCAGTGTTTAGAATTCCACTCAGACTTTCCCTCATCCAAGCATCTTGCCCAGACTCTGCTTCCTCCCAGATAAGCTGCCTTTCTCACCTCTGTGCATTTCTCTAGTGCTCTACTCACGTCATTGTAGATGCCTTGCTCCCTCTTTGAATGTAAATAGAGGATAGAGCCTACATCTCAGTCACTTCTGTATCTTGGAGATCTAATGCAGTTCCCAGAACTTAATAGGTTCTAGTGATTGTTTAATGAGCTCATGCATTCAAGCATGAGTAAAGGGATGAGGACATCTAATATATGCATCAAAAATTCTAGTGGTATTGATTTAACTGTGTCACAACATGGCCCCATTCCATGGTTGGACGACTAATTCCTAGAAAGCTCTTCATCCTATTGAATTGGAACTAACCTTCTTGCAATTCATCCAGTATTCCTGACAGCTTTCCTTTGCAGCACATAGAATAAATTCGTAGAATAGTCATTAATATGTTTCAAGATACATTGATGTCCTTCTGAATCATCTCGTTTTCCAGGCCAATGACTGTTTGTTTTTAAAAAGTAAAATATGTTCATTGCTAGGTTATTTTAAGATCCGTGTTAACAAAAGAAACTTTAAGGCCCTGGCAGTTCACAGGCAAGAATTTTACTACATGGTAAATTCTTGCTGTTTCTGAATGTCAGAATTAGTGAAATCAATCAGCACAGGGATAATAGGATTTAAGAATAAAGACAGAGACATGTCACCACATGCAGACGTTACTAACAGAAATGGAGGTTCCGTATCAGGCGTGAAAAGAAGTCTTCACGGTAGCAGTCAGTTTCCTGAGTTGTTTCAAGAATAGCTGTGCCACAGGGCATATGCCAAGAGGAAAACGGACTTGGATTATTTGTCTAAAAATTAAGCTCTGTTTCTTTCCTTCAACTCAGGGGAAAATAAGACAAAGTTTTAAAACGCAGTATCAAGGATTGGTGAGTTGTGGTGTTATTAATGGTGTACATTCCAAGTCAGAGAGAATCTTAAGAGTCACAATGAACTTGAAAAAAAGAGTAAAAAATTGTGTTAGTGTTTCTTTTCTATAGTTTTATAAATAGCGACATATAGATACATATATTATATACAGAGAGAGATATGAATCACCTTTACGTGTTTTTTTTTTTTTTCAAGTACTCTTAGCTTATACTTTCAAAATAGCTCAGAAGATAGGTAAACAAGACATGGCCAAGGTTTTCAGGAGGATGTCAGAAACCACTGGGTTTTCAGAAGCAGAACTACCAGAAGTTGGTTCTTGAATTCTGGTTACAAAAAAATAAGTAAGTAATGAGGAACAGGAATCAACAGAGGTTACTCACTGGGCTTGCAGAAAGGCAGTCACTTAATTTCAGCTGGGTTCATGTTCCTGCATAAAGTGTTACTGTTTCGAGATAAAGGCATCCTTGAATCTAGTACAAAACACTTCAAGGTGCTGATATGTGTTTATATGCTTTATACATATTGATATGCCATTGTATGTAAGTTATTTCAGAGTATGAAGACAAAAGTTGAAAAAAGTTATTAGTTTAAATGTACTAGAAAATGTCATTGTCTGTTTCTCACTAGTGTATACTTGTATGCCGTATGTGTGTTGTGGTCATGTATGCTTACATTGTTTTTTCTTGATGTTAAATTTGCAAATAGGTCCCACCTGGTGGAGTTCCTGTAGGTACTGGGTGTTGATTTTGAGTTTGTTGTGAATTGCTGTGGTTATTTCTTAGCTCTTTTTTGATTTTCTACTACAACAAGTAGACTGTTAATTCATGATCACTTATATAGAAATCTACAACTACCATAAATATGTATATGCTTGTAAATGTAATTGAAATGTATGTTCCTCATGTTATTGGTTAGAGTAGAATGAATTGTGCAGAACCCAAAGTGCAGCTGAACTTTAGCAAAGATTATTCAGTTGTTAAATGTTTTTTCAGTCCGTGACAACCATGCATAATTCATCACAGTATTCTTTCTAAAAGATTCTAAGTGTGGAGCTGAACCTTTTTGAACAAGTTTCTCTAAGACAACCACTGCTGACCAATTCAAATTGATAGATGAGGTTAATTTTTTTGTCCTTTCTTATTATACTTTATAATTTATGTATGCCCATAAGTATGCATATGTATGTATATGCACATATACTCACATTTCTGTGTTATATGTGTGTATATATATATGAGAATGCATATAAACTTGTGTGTGTGTGTGTGTGTGTGTGTGTGTGTGTGTGTGTGTGATATGATATTTTAATTCTTGTTGGAAACCCAAAGTTGGCTTTAAATCCAATTACTTATTATATTTGAATGTCTTTCTTCTCTATGATGGGATTTCTAATTCTACATTCACCTGTTTGTTTACATTTGCATATGTGTTTACCTTTGCCTTCCTTTTCTTATTTTGTGCTGTAAGTGAACATCAGAGTTTATTTTACCCTCTCAGAAAATAATACACAAATCAGTGAAATGATATACTTATGATATATACTGACTGTATACTTTAGACAAAATAATCTACCATTTGTCTGAAGGAAAAAAGAACATTTATTAATCAGCCTTCTTTGTACATATTAATTAGTTAAAAAACTAATACGTATTTTGAACAAATTTATAGACAAAAGGACTATATAAAATCTATTGTCCCTATCAGAATAGTAAGCCAGAATGTTATCGATTTACACCCATAGTATACCATACCTGAAACTAGTGTTAAAAATAAATCCAGGGGCACCTGGGTGGCTCAGTGAGTTAAGCCTCTGCCTTCGGCTCAGGTCATGATCTCAGGGTCCTGGGATCGAGCCCCGCATAAGGCTCTCTGCTTGGCAGGGAGCCTGCTTCCCCCTCTCTCTCTGCCTGCCTCTCTGCCTACTTGTGATCTCTCTGTCAAATAAATAAATAAAATCTTTAAAAAAAAAAAATCCAAGTGTTAAGCTTTGAGTAACAACTAGCTAGATATTTCCAAATATGTATTCTTAAATTCTTGTCCTCAAAGAAACATCCAGATATTCACCAATGGTCTCTACAGATCCAATATATAGATTTTTAAAAGTTGGTACATGACATGTTTATAAAATTTGCAAGTTAAAATTTAATCAAAGGTTAACTGAGCAGGACAGATTAAAATGAGCTAAGAGATGTCGTGGACAATTGTAGCTTTCCGTGTTATCTTATCTCTTTACAAAAAAATAATCTGCATGTCTGGGAAGTGTTATTTTATTCCCCAGTTATTACAACAGGACTTGAAGTGAAGACAAATTATCCAAAGGTCTTTAATGTTTCTAGTCATCAAAAACAAGTGTCTATTTATGAGGTCCTGGTGTATATATTGTCTTCAAATGCAAAGCCTTTGACAATGAAAAACTTGCATCTTCTGTCAACTGGGAAAGGGTCTATGTTGTTTGGAACACAAGCATATTATGCAGTTTTACCTACACACATGCTGGTTCACAAGCCAACATTCACTGCAGTTTTGCACCCTCACAATACCTAGCATTAAAAAAAAAGTGCCTAGAGGCACCTGGGTGGCTCAGTGGGTTAAAGCCTCTGCCTTCGGCTCAGGTCATGATCCCAGCGTCCTGGGATTGAGCCCCACATCAGGCTCTCTGCTCCGCGGGGAGCCTGCTTTCTCCTCTCTCTCTCTGCCTGCCTCTCTGCCTACTTGTGATCTCTATCTGTCAAGTAAATAAATAAAATCTTAAAAAAAAAAAAAAGTGCCTACAACATGTGTTGAGGTTATGCATGAATATATCTAACAATTCTACTAACAGAGGCGCCAGTTGAAAGGAAGAAAAGAAATTGGGAAAATGTTCATTCTATGCAAGTAAAGAATGACCGAAGTACTTGAATAAAGGGAAAGAAGTAAATATTTGCTTTATCAGGTCCCATAGCAGTGCTTATTCACTTTGAATTACTGGGTGTTTCAAATCTGGGCAAAGGAAGCTATTCTTCAGCACCATTATGAGTAAAGTCAGAGAACACAAAAAAATATATGAATTTAACAGGCTAGTGATTTTACCTTGATTGGTAAAATCAAGGACAAACATTAAAAAATAACAGACACTCCTACTTATTTAGGTTTTTTTGTGGTTGTTGTTCATTGAAACTGCATTCTAACTTTTCTGCTCATTTAAAAATAATCATTGGATTTTATCATAGTTGACTTTAAAGTACACAGTAAGAAGCAACGTCAAAATGTGGTTCAAGATACATTGAGTTTACGTGCATTTTATAATCTATTTTTAAAACAAATATTTTAACTTATTAACTAACATGCTTGATTATCCAAACACCCCACCTGCTAGCCATGCTGACCAGTGGGGGTCATGACCCTGACATGGAGCCTGAGGTTCCTGCTTGAAAGTATCCAAGGAAAGCCTCTGACTTTTCACAACTCTTAACAACCTTGATTATTTTATAGTCAAGAAACCAGTGGAAATTATTATATATAGCATTATTTTTTCTTGTTCCAGGATCAATAAATGTAACATACTGAACTGACATCACAATCATGGACATAGAAGCTACAATAGTATACCGACATGCTATATCTCCTAATGAGATGTTACAAATATAGAACTTGTGTTCCGTTCAAATGAAGCCATTCATTTCAAAGTTGTTTGAAACATACCTATTGCATTTTTAAAAAGGTATATAGGTTACAGTATCTGTGGATCAAGCCATGCCTACCTTTTAATATAGTAGGACACATTTTAACTTTCTCACTTACACATAGAAATTTTTAAAAGGTCAGTTCTAATTTTTTAATCAAATGAACATGTCTTTAACAATTCCAAAGTCTATAGGCTGCCCTCAGCCCCTGATTTCAGATTTGGAAAAGTACTCTATGATACTAGATTATATTTCACACTGTGCTATGCATCATATGTATTTTTTTCATTTGAGTCTAGTTGACACGTGCTGTGACATGAGTTTCAGGTCCACTTCTCTGTATGTTATGCTGAGCTCAGCGCATGAGTAGGTCCCATCTGTCACTGCACAGTGGTCTTACAGGACCAGTGACTATCCCCTGTCCTGTGCCTTTCATCCCAGGACTTACTCATTCCATAACTGGAATCCTGTTATATATTACAGGCTCCCCTTAGTGCACAATATTTTTATAGTTGCCAAAACCTATAGAAACACCTCACCTCCCTGTGTCAAGTCTGTTGATGTTGTTTTTGTAAAGCTTTGTCCATAGTCCTGTTTCCCACTATTCATTTCTCTTCTCCACCTGCCTTCTTACTCTACCACCAAACACCAGTCCATATCTCCCCACTTACATCCTTGTTCTTTCTCTAACAGGCAGAGATTAATATCTTATCTTTCAGGATGGCAGTAAGACTGTGAAGGGTTTCCAATGCATAGTTAATTATCTCTGTTTTGAGCTCTTGTAACCCCTTCTTCGTTATGTATATGTCATTTTTCTGAACTCTTACCGGACACAATGCAGCCAATTCATGTATCTTCAAACTAATCTAATCTAATCTAATCTAATCATCTGAAATTTTTAAATTAAAATAAACATTATGTTTCCCTTTGGAGAGCCTTTGCAGCATTAAAATAAGAAAAAGCAAGCATGGTATTTATAGGTAATGAATTATACATAACCAATTTTATTTATTTTACATTAAATGTGAAAACAGAAGAGTAATAGGCGTATGTGCAGTTTATTACCACAAATGAAGTAGTTGTACAATCCTACAGCTAAAATTTTGGGCTGCAGTTTTCTTTTCTTGCATTTATTTCTTATTCCTCAAGTCCGATGAAGTTCTGGAGAATATTGATATTAAATAACCAAAAAGAATAAATTCAATTGGATTACTACTTATCCTATTTACATTAAGTGTACTTTTCCTTTTTATCCACATTAAGTGTACTTGTACTCACTCTGCTATGGTGTTTTCCACAAAAGTGGTCATTGTCTTTGCATAATTCAGCTCAGTGATGAGTGAATGTCTAGTGAAACCTATCTTGTCTTTGGACTATTACAGTCATGCATAGTTTTGTAATAGATTTGCAAAATTCATCTCCAGTTAATGAGCTAATAGCTACATTGTGTATTCAACATTTTAAATAATGGCATTCTTTTTTCAAAGACGAAAGACCCAGAGCTTCACCTTTTCCTGAATGATTACACCTCAGTCTTCACCGTTACACAAACTGGCATCACTCGCTACCTCACCTTACTTCAGCCAGTGGACAGGGAAGAACAGCAGACTTACACTTTTTCGGTAAAAGGCTTTCATATACACATTTGTGTGTGTGTGTGTGTGTGTGTGTGTGTGTGTGTAAACAGAAAGATATCTGTTTAAAACTGAAGAAGTCAATAATTTAGGAGGAAAATGCAATATTTTCAAGGAATTGAGAATTAAGATTCTCAATAATAAAATTCTTCACATGTATCTTTTTCTGTTTTATAAGTTTGTGCAACTGTGTTAACATTCTTTCCAACAGAGGAAAAATAATTTTCAAGATGGAAACAGGAAAATTGGAGTCTTGTTTTTCACCATACACTCATAATTGACTTAAATTTGAGATATTATCATCTAGAATCCACAAATAATTATTTCCTAACCCTTATTTTATTTTAACTTTTTTTTGTTATTACATTTTAAATTTTGCCATGGGGTTAAGCCACTGGGATGATCCCTGCGCCCCCCAAGCCCATCCCACCCCTCCCCTGGAAACATTTGGCAATGTCTGCAGACACATTGGCCATCACTACTGTGAGAGTTGCATTTCATATCAGGGAGGGAGACACTAAGGATTCTGGTAAGCATCTCATAACACACAGGACAGGGCCCCCTCCACCAAAACAAGTATCTGATGGAGAAATCCTAGTTTAGGTTAATCAAGAAAAAAGAGAAAAGAATAGCTGGGGGAGATTATTCAAGCTGTAATTGTACCTAGTTACCAAAAAAATAGAAGTATTTTTGTGTCTCTATGAAAAGCGCAGTTGAGAAGTGAATACAGATGAAAAGAAAGTTGTATTATCTGACTTTCTGAGATGAATTTTATTCAGATTTAAGAAAAAAATGAGCTGATAGAAAAGTAGAGATTGTGGGACTTACATAGGATTTCCTTCTGAGAGCCAGAGCTTCCAGAAACCTGACAGGTAAAACTTAGATACAGAGTGGATTTCAGGAGTCATTCAGAACAAAGATGGCGGTGTTATAACGCTGATTTTGTTTGTCAGACCTTCCTAAAATGTTAATGATGTAATTACAATATCACTATTAACTAGTGGCACTAAGTCCTATAAAAATTGCCACTTGGTGAATTACCAGAAAAAGACATCACATCTCTAGGGCACCTACTTTCTTGTATATAAGTATGTTGACTATAAACACTTCTATGGCATTGTATACAGAATATGGAAATGTGAAGAATAACTTCCTATTTTTTTTTAATTTAAAAAAATTAAGTAGTAGTTAACATCAGCAATGTTACTGGCTCACCCCAGGGCTCTAACACATTTTGCACATCTGCTTCTTTAAAATGTGCTTAGAATTGGATACATGAAAAATAAAACAGAATCCTCTATAATCACCTCTGCTTATATGTACTATCGTAGGTCTTTTTCCTTTTATCCACAAAACATTTTGGCACCCATTAAAAAAAAGAAATGTCTTAAGTCTTAAGAGTGAATTCTGTGCTGCTTCTGTTCGCATGACTTCTGTTACATGTATTTTTCTCTCCCCAAAGATAACGGCATTCGATGGTGTGCAAGAAAGCGAGCCAGTTACTGTCAATATTTGGGTGATGGATGCAAACGATAACACTCCAACCTTTCCTGAAATATCGTACAATATCTATGTGTATACAGACATGAGCCCCGGCGACAGCGTCATTCAGGTAATTGCCTGTGTGGTGTGCAGATTCACACGAAGCCGTTAATTCCATGGGCATTTCTTAACGTATGTGTACGTTAAGAAACTGTTGAAGAAGTTTAAGTGAGCTCAGACTCATGGTATGGCATAATTGAGTTTAAGAACTTTAGATTTATGTTTATTTTTCAAATAAAAGTGCAACTATATGCACTTTATTTTTTAAAGCTTTTGTTTATTGAGGTGGGAGGAGAGCACAGAGAGGGAGAGAAGCAGACTCCCCACATAGCAGGGAGCCCAATGTGGGACTCAATCCCAGGACCCTGAGATTATGACCTGAGCTGAAGGCAGATGCTTAACTGACTAAACCAGTGAGGCGCCCCATTCCAATTAAAGTGGAATTAATTAGTTACTAAATGCAAACATAACTATTTGAGTAGTTTATACTTGATTTTTAAAATTTTAATGTACCAAATATATTTACTTACTATAATAATGTATTTAACACCCTGAAGTTTCAAGTATTAGACATACAGTTGAAAACTTCCAATTATTTTGAACTTTTGCAAATATGGGTTGAATTTCCCTTGGTGATAAAGACAGAAGACTGCCTTAATAAATTAGTGGATAATACTGTTAGACAGTGGTTACCCAGACATAAAATGGAATCATTGCAACAGAGAAAAATTAGAATTGTGTAGTAAGTGGTGTCTTTGAAAACACAGAAATTGGGCGAAATCTTTCTCCTTGATTTGTCTTATTTCTATTATTAACTGTGTACTTACTACATTTAAATTAATTATAAGTTATCTTAAAATATGTGGGGTGTTTTGCCTTTTTTTTTGTATTTTGAGTATAAGTTATAGAGAAGTCATAATATTCTTCCTTGAGGATTTTTAGAAAAAGTGGAGTCTAGCACTTTCCAAACTGACTGTGCTGTGAGTTAATGAGGGAGCTGTTTAGAAATACAGACAACCAAGATTTCACACCCACTTTCCTGGATCTGAAGCTTTATTAACAATACATACATTACTGATAATTAGAAAGCGAACCCTGAGAGCTTCAGTTGCCCAACCGGGTAAAGATCACTTATGTGGATTATCCTCTAAATTTGAGAGTCAGACTCAATAATTCTAAGTAACTTTCAGGCCAGGAAGGCCATGATTCTATATACTTTCAGAGTATTTGCATAGCTCCAAATTAGTAGTAAATTACATATTACATATTACATAACAATTACATATATTACACAAATTACATATTACATAACAATTACATTATATCATTAGGGTCATATAAAGGGTTAGGGAAAGGCTGGAAATTCGCCTGTACCTGCTTGCATGTATAAATACCTTCAACTGCATCTGGTATTGGGGGAAAAGCAATGGCACATTCCATTCCTATCTTGTCTCGTTTTGACGAAATCCACCCTTTCAGCCATTTGCCTTGAGGGTAGAATTCTGTTTAGGTTATTATTTCTGCATCCATAACCTCTGTACCCATAATGCCTAGCACCTAGTACATACTCAGTGTAGTAGATGCTCAATAAATGTTTATCCAAGGGTGACAGAGGGAGACTTGCAGGCAAGTGGTATGAATGAACGAGAAGGTGTAAAAATGCTGGCCTTTATTTCTCATCAACTGGTGGACCTAGTGAGCTACATTTATCTTTACCTTGGCACTTACTACAAAAGCAGCAAAATTACAGTTTATACAGATAAAGGAATGACTATCGTCGTCATGTTCTTATTTAATTAGACCTGATTCTCATCTCTATAATAACATAATTGAAAGTAAAAGTAAGTGTGTATATATATATATATATATATATATATATATATATATACACACACACACACACACACACACACACACACAACCAACCAGCAGGGAACTGGAACTGGAAAGTGTAATTAAGAAAATCATAGCAATTATGTAGTGGAAACAGCTCAAAAAATGTTTGCCTTAGGGATCAAAAGCTTATTTCTGGCATTTTCAGGCTACAGAAGTTAATTTCCCTATGTACCTCTTTATAAAATAGATCTTTTCTTGCCTTTAAAGATTCATATTTTGTATATCTCCCTGAACCACGCAGATTATGAAGATAAGAGTATTGCTTGCATCTCTATGGCTTTGTTTTTTTAAAAATTATTTAAGCACCAAGAAATGAAACATTATAATTAGTATTTTAAATGTTATTCCCACTATGTGGTAACAGGAAGGTATGTCTCTAAAACACCCTCCAGGGGCCTAGAAATGAAAGGAAATACATTTCCTATGAAGAGAAAGATTTGTAAATAAAGCAAAATGACTCAGAACTATGGCCTGCCCCTGCCTCATAACAGTCTCTGAAGAGATTCTGGCTGTCCCCACCCCAGCCCCTCACCAACCTGCCTTTCCCTGCTGCCCCCCAAGATCAACTTGTTTATGTTTGTTAGTATTCTTATGTCTAAAACAGTGAGGGGGTGCCTGGGTGGCTCAGTCAGTGAAGCCTCTGCCTTAGCTCAGGTCATGATCCCAGGGTCCTGGCATCGAGTTCTGCATTGGGCTCCCTGCTCTGTGGGAAGCCTGCTTCTCCCCTCCCTGTCCCCCTGTTTGTGTTCTTTCTCTTGCTGTGTCTCTCTCTGTCAAATAAATAAGTGAAATCTTAAAAAAAAAAAAAAAGTGAGAATATTAGAAGCAAAGGGGACAGTGAGTACTAATCAGAGAATACCTTGGATAACAGCTTTTAAGTATATTTTATTTTATTTGTCAGAGAGAGAGAGAGAGCACAAGCAAGGGGAGAAGCAGGCAGAGGGAGAAGCAGACTCCCTACTGAGTGGGGAGCCCAATGTGGAAGTCGATCCCAGGACCCTGAGATCATGACCTGAACCACCCAGGGGTCTCCAGATTTTAAGTATATTTTAATTGGATAATTTTAAATCTATCATTTTCAAAGCAACTGTAAGACTTTCTCGGTGCAATGTCAGTACCTACTCAACTATTTGAGTCTAGCCCCTTCTTGTTAGGAGGGACGTGTAAGAAGTGGATGGGTTGGTCAGAAAGCTGTGAGGAACCAGGTCCTTATTACAAATTCTGCTATAAGTTGGTCCTCTAACTTTATATCTCCTAGGCCTGAGTGTTGTAAATAGAACAGAGTGGCTCATGAGCTACATCTGGTAGAGCACTGCCCCAAACCAGCATCTGCGTCCTTTATACCTGGAAATGAAGTGATTCAGATTACTAGCATATCTTGTGTTTAGGGGGAGATTACTGGCATGAGTGAGAATGATTTTTTTGCATGAAAGAATGTCTTAGGGGCACCTGGCCCAGTGGGTTAAGCCTCTGCCTTCCGCTCAGGTCATGATCTCAGGGTCCTGGGATCAAGCCCTGCATTGGGGGGGGTCTCTGCTCAGCAGGAAGCCTGCTTCCCCCTCTTGCTCTGCCTGCCTCTCTGCTACTTGTGATCTCTCTCTCTGTGTGTCAAATAAATAAATAAATTCTTAAAGAAAGAAAGAACGTCTTATAGGCCATCTAAGAACTCCCACGGGATGACACTCAAGGATATCACTCTCTGTTGTCCTAGGTCTCATTCCACACATTACTGGTTTTCTCAAAAAATCAATTGCTCAATATTAAAGATAGAGATTTTGATATATAATTTTAATATTTTGAAGATGTAGGTTTCCTATCAGTAGCTACCTCTCCAGTCCATACTCGAGAGATGCTCTTCCTAAACTCTCACAACTTTCATCAATCAGTGTTCTTGATCCTAACCGAATAGAGAGATTGCCCTGAGCAGCCTTTGAAAATGAGGATGCCTCAACTCCATCCTGCCATGGTTTTATTTCAGCCATCTGACCACTCACCGTTGAGCCCCATTGGGAGATTCACCTAACAAAACAAAGCAACTCTGATATATGTCCAGTTTTGAGAAAACTCATCGTTACCCTTAATAAGATTTCATACTTTGGAAAATTGAAATTGCTGATTCATGAAGATGAAGTCTCATATGGAGCCGAGTCCTTTGATTCTTACCCCACCTCTTTCCGTTTTTCTCGTTCTCCAGTTCCTATCTTCTGTCCCACTTCTTACCCCTCCTTGCTGCTTTAACTTCCCCTCCTCCACCTTCACCCATGCTCTACTCTTATTCTGCTCCGTTCCCTTTCTTTCACTACAGCAATGTCCTCCTCTCTCCAGATTCCTTCCTGTCCATCTATAAACACCCTCACATCTCCCCCTGACCTGGTCTAAATGCTCCTCCTGGGTAACACTTCATGCTGCTGTCCCACTCTCGTATATTCAGTCACTAGAGTCGATGGATACACTTAGAGAATTTATTAATTTATTACTTCATAGTTATTAATTGCTATTCTATTATTTTACTCACATTATACCATGAGAATCATACAAAATCATAAATCTGATGAGTCTCTCTTTAATTGTGAAACACAAAAGCATTTCTCACTCCTTCATCTAGGTAAAATTCTCGTCTGTCCCATTTTATGGAAAACTGGTTTTCATCCCACCTCTCTGGTGACTAAAGGACTTTGTTCTCAGCTCCTTGTTCACTTCTTATTCTTTAAATATTAGCATTCTCCAAAAATAAATATGCAGTGCTCTGTTTCATGTATTCCCACGTTTTTAGTCATTACCACAACGTATAGTCATGTCTCCCAAGATTCAATGCCCTGTGGCTACCTCAACATCCAGCTGGCATTCCAAGGATCTGTTGTAGGGGGGAGTACAGGTTTTGGTTAGGAACTTCAGACTGGACATACTCCAAGATAAATTAACTAATCCACGGTCTTTCATCTAATACAGAAACACATCTACGATTACACAGGCTTTAGCATCCACTTCCGAGTCATTTCTATCCCTCTCCTTCCCCTGCTCACACACAGGTGATGGTCCAGGTGCTGAAATCGCTGTTCCAAAATGGATCTGTCATTATTTGCCTTTCTGTTTCTATGGCCTGCTGGAAATTAGGCTACGAGGGTGGACTCTGAGTGGTAACTCCGTTTTCACAGATGCCCCCATGTTCTTATT